TATGCTAGACATTAAAAGTAGCAGGTAGTTAAGTTCATGTGTAAATATGTATTTGGGCATGGATATTTATTTAGTCTTGCTGAAGAAATAACTTACATTCTAGAAAAGATACTGGTGACAAATATGTGACAGCAATGCCTTTTCTAGTTCCCATGGTGGATAGGACAGCGCTTTTCCTACTGAGGAGTATATAGGGGTGAATAAAGGAAAGTAAGGAAAACCAGTGCATTTAGCCACATTACACTCTGATTTGGACTTATCGATAACTTTTGCTGAGAAATACATACTGAAGTTCTGTAGACCTAGAAAATTTCCCAGAGTGCTTTCAGTTCTGTCTTAAAACAAAACATCAATACAGCTTTCTTAAAAACATTGTTGTTTTTAAGAAAGCTGTTCATTGCCAAAACCGGTTTGGCTCAGTGGATAGAGCGTCGGTCTGCGGACTGAAAGGTCCCGGGTTTGATTCCGGTCAAGGGCATGTACCTTGGTTGCGGGCATGTCCCCAGTAGGGGGTATGCAAGAGGCAGCTGATTGATGATTCTCTCTCATCGATGTTTCTAACTCTCTATCCCTCTCTCTTCCTCTCTGTAAAAAATCAATATAATATATATCTTAAAGAAAGCTGTTCATTGTAACATTGTAAAGAGATGGTTGATGGCTTTATGTATCCAAGAGTCCATAGAAGAAGTAAGGCCTCTTGTTTTTGATCTTCTATTGAAATATCTGAATCCACACCTTCTATTTCTTAAGCTGAATCGAGAGATTCGGATAGAAACTCAATAGCAATACAGAATGACTCCTGAATGAGACATATGAAGACTCAGACAAGAGTGGTTGTGTTCCTTACTGCAAACAGAAGCCTACAGATATCCTAAATAACGGATAGCCCGCAGTGCTGTGGATCTCACCGTGAAAAGTGATCTCCATGCCCAAATACGTATTTACACATGAACTTAATTACCTGTTACTTTTAATGTCTAGCACAATATTTCTCCAACTAGAGATCATTATCCATTAATAATAAAATGTTTGGGAGGATTGGAGAATATAGAGTTAGGAATTTGAAGAGAGTTCATAAATGAGACACAGAAGTACTGACCATAAAGGACATGATTGATACATTTGACTACTCTTGATGAACTTCTATTCATTAAAAAGATTGGAGTAAATAGATTGGGAAAGGGTTGCAGGTTTGACCACTGGTCAGGGCACACACCTGGGTTGCAGGTTCGATCCCCGGCCGGGTGAATACAAGAGGCAACCGATTAATGTCAGTGCTTCTCTCTCACATTGAGGTTTCGCTCTCTTCTTCTCTCTCAAACCAATAAAACCATATTCTCGGGTGAGGACCAAAAAAATAATAAATTTTAAAAATATATTGAAAAAATATTTAGAACACATATAACAGACAAAGGACTTATTCAGAATATATAACTAATTATTGGTGTGAGTGTGTACAACTACGGCAGGAAAAAGTTTGGCAGTATCTAGTGATGCCGAAGACAAATACTTTTCATCCAGTAGTTTCACTACTAGATTTATACCTTAGGGAAGCAGTTCCTCAAACCTTTTGATCTCACTGTAAACTTGTAGAAATTATTGACCTAAAAGAACTTTTGTTTATGTGGATCATATCTATAGATAGCTACCATATTAAAAATATAGAAATTTTAAAATATTTTTTTATGGAAAGCCCATTATGTGTTAATTTTTTATGAAAAATAACTAACTAGTGGGAAGAGTGGCATTGTTTTAGAGTTTGAGAGTCTATTTAATCTCAACCTTTGTAGAAGATGGCTGGAGTCTCAGTCCTATCTACTTTTGTGTTCATCTGTTGTGGTATGTTGTTTTTGGTTGAAGTATACAAAGAAAATGTGACCTCACACCGATATGTAGTTGGAAGAAGGAAGAGTATTTTAATAACTTTCTCAAATAATTGCAGATACTTTTCTTTGATACTCAACTAAAACTACAAATGGTAATTTCTTAAAGGTGGGTGGCAATGTGAAATCTGAAACCATATCAATAAACTTAATTATTTTGTTAACGTTAAAATCTTTTAGTTTACATTACATGTTGAGTAGATTTTTACTCACGCATGATTTTGTAATATCATACATTGATAATTTGCAAAATACTGGTTTACTCATTTCATTATACAATATTAAACTGTCACATCCCTTAACTTCACTACCAACCTCATCAGAAAAGTGTTCAAGTATTGGGAAGCTGTCAAGCACGGAGTGGCAGATACAAGTTTTCCAAAATTGTCATTTTCACTTGAAAGCCCTAATTTTTCCACTGGCACCCAAACCCTCAGTTGTTTTTCTTGAAGTGATTGGCTGACTTATCTCTCAGCTACTCAAGTATGAATAACCATAGTCTGTCTGACTGTCACTCCTTCAGAAAAAAGCAGCTGTGGTCATCCAGCTCAAAGACAAACAATTGCCCAAGTGCCTTTTTCCAGGCAACCTTTGTACTGTGTGTGCGGCAGAAGTGCTTTATGTGACTTGCCTTTTTTGTCACACAGAATATTGAAAAGGTGTCTAGTCAAGAGCAGAGATTTTAAAAAAATGTAAACACAGTGATTATACAACATAGGGATTATACGTGGATGTAACTTACAAAGTGATCACCCTGATAAGTCTAGTACCCAACAGAGACCACACATAATTATTGTAGTATTATTGACTATATTCTCTATGCTGTATTTTATATCTCCAAGACTGTTTTTATAACTGGCAATTTGTACATCCTAAAGAAGAGATTTAATAAAATTAATATTTTTACTGCTTCAATAAAAACATTTTAGCATGAACCTGGCATATTTTCTTCAGAGTGTGGCAGTGAGGAATTCAGTGACTGTTAATAAAGTTGATGCTTCTGCCTTTATCATGTCATCTTGAACTCACCCAAATGTTTCACTGTTTTTCAACAGTGAAAACGGCAAATCACATCTTAAAACTATTATGAAAAATAGTTTCAACTTTGTGGACCCTCTGAATGGATCTAGAGATTCCCAGGGGAGGGCAGTTGGGGGTGACCAGGCTTGCAGGGGAAGGTAGGGGCAATCAGGCTGGCAGGGGAGGGCAGTTAGGGGCAATTGGGATGGCAGGGGAGCAGTTAGGCATCGATCAGGCTGGCAGGGGAGTGATTAGGGGGTGATCAGGCTGGAAGGCAGAAGCAATTAGGGATTGGTCAGGCAGGCAGGCAGGCAAGCAGTTGAGAGCCAGGAGTCCTGGATTGTGAGACGGGTGTCTGACAGCTTGGTGGCTCAGGCCTAAATGGGCAGATTGGAGAGCGTGCAGGCTGGGCTGAGGGACAAACTACCCCCCCCCCCCAACACATGAATTTCATGCACTGGGTCTCTAGTATGTTCTATAATACATGACTCTGTCCATTTGTATTTATATACTTTTCTATACCTCTGTTATTTAAAAAGTGTTAAATTAGCCTTGTTAGCTTCTGGTTTAGAGGTATAAGGGATGTTGAGAAGTGTTGAAAATGCCGAACCTTTTCTCCTGTGGTTCCTTTGATTGTGTTACAGTTGAGGTGGAAACTTAAGTGCTTCTAGTGCATTTCCCCCCTCATAGTCAGTGAGTGACCTGGCTAAGGCAGTGAAAATTATGAGAAGGAAACTTTTTAATTTAAAACTTTATGTAGTGCTTAGTTACTTGAGACTTAGGAACCTTACTATAGAAGCTGTTTCCCATATTCTTATTTTCTGGAAGGGGAACAAAATGAAAAGTGGCTTGAGTAAGAGCACAAGTGGAAAATAAAACCATTTGTAACTTCCTTTGTTGTTATTAAATCGTTGTAAGAGTGTGCTGACTGTAAATGAAATAAGAAATAGTAATAAGGTTTTGGCATGACTGGATTACCCATTGGTCATGCTCTTGGAACACTTTTCACTCTAGTTGTCTAGTTTTTATCTCCACAACACTGAACTAAGCACAGCAGATAGTAATACTTCCATTTCATAGATAAGAGAACTGAGGCACAGAAAAGATTAGTATTTAATTCAGTAACACAGCCAGGACTCCTAGAATTTGCTTTTCCTATCAAGCTAGGTTTAATTGTAAGGAATTCAAGACAGTCTTTTTTGTCTTTGCCTCATGGGTCCTCTTGTTGCAAGCTGATCTCTCCCCCTTTTGGTCGGGAACATCAGTCACTGTTCTGTGTGGACATCAGCACCGTCGGCTGTGCTTCCTGATGTTCCGAGACTTGGATTGAGAATGTTGAGCAAATCATGCAGCCTCAATTCCATTTCAGTGTTGTTTGTTGGAGTTCATTGAGGTATGCATTCGATGCTACTAATCATAGCCTTCAACTTGAACCCACGTGCCATAGCTAGAGGAATGTTTATTTTCCACTTATTGGCTGTCAGGATGACTGAGAAATGGTGGAGTTGGACTGCAGGTAAAACTGATCAGCTTTCAGATGTACGTAATCTCCCAGCAGACTTTCCTCTTGTTCCTTGGCAGAGGTTCAGACACTCAGGAGTTGTGTGTGCCCGAGAATGCACGCACTCAGAGAAGAGAATTATCCCAGCTTGGCTGCAGTGCATCAGGCCAAGACTGCGTGGACCCTGGAGGATGTTGGAATGGCATGCCCACAGAATAAGCTCTGATTTAAATGGACACACGAATCCTTCACAAAAGTGGCTAAGAATCTCTGGCAACAGAGTGGTAATTAGAAATAAATGAAGGCCCTTTTTCTAGTTTGTCTAGGCCAGTGGTCAGCAAACCGCGGTTCGTGAGCCACATGCGGCTCTTTGGGCCCTTGAGTGTGGCTCTTCCACAAAATACCCACGTGCAGGCGCGCACGTACAGTGCAATTGAAACTTTGTGGCCCAGGCACAGAAGTCGGTTTTTGGCCTGGGCGAGTCTATTTTGAAGAAGTGGCATTAGAAAAAGTGGGGGTGTCGGTCGGGCAACGGGGAGGGCTAAGGGGCACAAGTGGGCCTCGGGTTACACGGAAGGGGGAGTAAGGAAGGGGGGGAGGCGCGAGTGATTCATGCACGAGGTGAGTGAGCCAGTCAGTCGCAGTCTCATTGTGCAGTGGTTAGTGCTGGTTGTGTCCGCAAACCACGAATGGGTGACAAAAATACCTTCTCGAAGCATAAAGTTACCTGTATTTTTCCAACCAGCTGCAAATCCTACAGGTATTTTTGTCATCAATTTAAGAATTGTAATTATTTTGTGTTGGTGGCTTTATTATTATAAAATGAAACTTTTTTTTAGGTGCCCTGTTTGACATGGCTACACAGAAGAAGAAAAGAAAAACGGAAGACGAAAACCGTGAATTTAAAGTTGAATGGACCGAGACTTTCGCGTTTACTCAAAACTTAAATGGCCTTCCGACCTGTCTTATTTGTCAGAAAAAATTGGCCCATAACAAGAAATCAAATGTGGAGAGACACTTTGCAACTAAACACGTGTCATTTAGTACTAAATATCCTGTCGGTGATGCAAGGAAGAAAGCAGTTGAGGAACTTCAGAAGCGTCAAGAAACACCAATTTCTGTATCTAATTACCAGAAGCAATCTTCCAACAATGTTAATATTGCAAGTTTTGTCGTTAGTCAGGAGATTGCTAAGAGAGGAAAACCATATACAGACGGTGAATACATAAAAAGTTGTTTTATAAATGCATCCGAAGAGCTATTTCGGGATTTTATGAACAAAGCAGATATTCTAAAAAAAATTAAAGAGTTACCATTGTCTGCTAAAACAGTGAAAGATAGAATATTCAAAATGTCTTCAAATATAACCGACCAGCAAGCCGAAGATCTTAAATTGGTTTCAGCTTTATCAATAGCAGTTGATGAGTCTTGTGATATAAATGATACCGCTGTTTCACTTTTTGTACGATTTATTTCACCTACAGGGCCTAAAGAAGAACTTTTAGGATTATTGCCACTCAAAGGTCAAACACGTGGAGAGGATATAGCAAATGCTGTAATTGAGTGCATTGAAAAACATCATATTCCGCTAGATAAAATTGTCTCAGTTTCAACAGATGGGGGGAATAGTATGACCGACATAAGAAACGGGTTTGTTGCTATTTTGAAAGAAAAAATTAATCATGAGATACTTACTTACCATTGCATCATTCATCAAGAAGCGCTATGTGTGCAGACATTTCCAGAAGAAATTTGCAAAGTTATGGAATTGGTGATTAACATTATCAGCTCCATTATAGCTAAAGCACTTAATCATCGACAATTTGAAGAATTTATATTTGAAATGGAGAGTGAGTATGCAGATCTGCTGCTGCATAACAAGGTACGGTGGTTATCAAGAGGAAACGTTTTGAAACATTTCGCTTCCTTATTAACAGAAATTAAAGCGTTTCTCCTTGAGAAGGGTGTTCACTATCCAGAACTAATGAACGATCAGTGGATCCAAAAATTTTATTTCATGGTAGACGTTACGTCTCATCTAAATCAGCTTAATCATAAACTACAGGGGAAAGGAAACACAATTTTTTCGATGTTAGAAGAAGTTACTTCATTCGAACACAAATTATCTCTTTTTGCTCAAGATTTTGAAAGGGAAACTTTGATTCACTTCCCAAGCCTGTTGAAACATCGCCAAGAAAATAATTCTGATATTGACATTTGCTATTTCAAAACAACACTTTTAAATATGAGGGAAGCTTTTCTCAACAGGTTTCAGGAATTCAGAGACAGCAAAGCGACATTAGCCTTTGTTAGAAAACCTCTTACTGCTAGTGTAACAGAATTAAATTTTTCTCCCTTTGATATCGACATTGGCAACTTTGAAATGCAATTGCTGGATTTAAAAAACAAGGAATTGTGGAGCTCGAAATTTGAACGTCTTTGTGCTGATATGGAAATATTGGAGAAAAACAAATGTGAACTTAGTTCGCAGCACAAGTGGTCTGCTTTGAAAGACCTGGAGAAGGAAGATGTGCTGATTTTTAACACCTGGAATAGTATTCCTGACTCATATGACCAACTGAAAAAACTAGCGTTTGCTGTTCTTTCCTTATTCGGGTCTACATATTTATGCGAACAATCATTTTCAAGCATGAACCTTATCAAGAGTAGAGTGAGAGGTCGTCTTATTGATGAGAACCTGTTATCGTGCCTAAAATTAAAAACAACAACATACAAACCTGACTTACCCAAACTTTCCAAGGAGATGCAAGGCCATTGTTCACATTAGTGTTTGTCAGTCATTGTCATGATTTAATTTTATGGATATTGTAAGGTAAATTGCAAGGAATTTGATAAATAAATAATATCGTTATTAAGTATGATATCAAGTTTTATTCAACGTACCTATAGTTTAAAGATTTAAAACTTTAAGTAAAGTTTATTAAGTTAATTTTAGGGAATGTTGTGGAGTGAAAGAAGATGTAGTGTGGAGGGTTGAGAAAGGTATGTTGAGATGGTTTGGACATATAGAGAGGATAAACGGAAGGAGATAGACGAAACAAGTATACAAGACGAGTGTGCATGGGAGAGTTGGAAGAAGTTGACCTTGGCGAAAGTACCTCAATCAGACTGAGAACTTTTTTTTAGCAAAGGCCAGCTTAGGAGTACCCTCATTAAGTTAATAACAATGTACCTACCTATATAGTTTAAGTTAAAAAAATTTGGCTCTCAAAAGAAATTTCAATCGTTGTACTGTTGATAGTTGGCTCTGTTGACTAATGAGTTTGCCGTCCACTGGTCTAGGCTAATCATTTTTTTTTTTTTTTAAAGTGACATTTACCTTTGTTAAATGTTAGTGAACCTGAATAAAGAAAAACATTTTTGGATGTTATAAGCCCTGTGTTTCACAACCAGGGTCCAATTCCGTAAATATTTTTCTCATTAGTTCCTACCAGGATATTATTTCTAAGATTTAGGTCTCAATCCAAGTCTTTTTACAAGTGAAATGTAACAGAGATCTAAGAAATGAGTGTACTAATTACATTTTTCCTGATGCATTTAAAATAGAGCAGTCTAATTATAAGCAACCCCTACACACAAAAAGTTCTCAATCTGATTGAGGTACGTTCGCCGAGGTATACTTCTTCCAACTCTCCCATCCATACTCCTCTTGCCCCAGTTTTCCCCTTCTAACCAGGCCTGATGCTGCTGCCATGAAGGTATTGTCAGTGCTCATAGAGAATCTGAGGGTCAGAGTGGAGGAAGGACCAGGGGCGTAGACCCCAGCCATAGGGCCCATCTGGTCGTACTGGCAGTTTCCTGTCCTCCTGTCCACTGCCAGAGCTCTTTTTATTATTTATCCTTGACAAGGGCCATGGAGCAGAGTAACAAGTGCAGGATAGCAAGTCTCCTTTAACACATAGCAAGGAGGATAAGAACATGAGTTTGGAATCGGACACTTCAGACTTGGTATTGGGTGTTGCCACTTCCTAGCTGTCTAACCTTGGGGCAGGTCAAGTCTATTTTCTCTTTTGTGAATGAGAATAATTGTACCTACCTCCCAGGGTCACTCAAGGATTAACTTGACCTGTAGACATGTAGTGTACATGATCCCATGCCTAGGATATAGTAAGTTCTCAGTAGACGATAGCTCTTACCACATATGCAGGCAACTAAAAGGTTCATTCATGATCCCCCCCCTACAGCATAAATTATTTCTATGAGTGCTTGGAACCCCAAATATATAATTGAACACTCCCTAGAGAAGCTAACATTTTGAGAGGGTTAGGACAGTAGTGAACTTTTAGCAGGGAAGTATTAGGAAAACGGGCAGGTCACAGTGAGAAACTCAGGAGATTTAGAACATCATAAGGTTCCCAGGAAATGAGAGAAAGACTAAAAAGTAGGACTGGCTATATATCCTTTCCCCAGAAAAGGTGGAGAATTCTTTTTCCTCTTTCTCTTCCCTGTTGAACTATATATGGGTTGTTGCTAGGACCCCAAACACAGGCCTGCATCATTGATACCGTATCTGCTCTCTGGCTGCGCATTCAGTCACCTGCAGAAGTTAAAAAAAAAAAAAAAAAAAAAAATACCCATGCTTGGGCCTTGCCCTAGTCTCTCAAATCCAGATCTTTGAGTTGGTGAGATCCAGCTGTATAGGGCTAAGTATACTTGTGAAGGCTAGCCTAGAAGCCTGCCCATTCCAAGTTCTAAACAAGTGGGGACTTTTTATATGCATGCACATGTGCATATATAGTTTTTTTTTGTTGTTTTTTTTTAAGTTGATTTCAGAGAAGAAGGGAGAGGGAGAGAAACATTAATGATGAGAGAGAAAAATCATTGATTGGCTGCCTCCAGCATGCCCCCTACTGGAATTGAACCTGAGACCCTTCAGTTCTCAGGCCATATGCAGGTTCACCAAAGCTTGGTCCTTAATTGATTCAATAGTTCCTCAAGGTGAGAAGAGTAGAAGAGATGTTATTGTCAATGCTTTTAAGATGGAGAAATAAGCTTTATTCACAAATAATTACAAAATTTTCAAGACATCATAGGGGCAAAAATTAGGATAACAGTTCAGAGGAAGAACAAAGTTTTTCATTACTGCCATCAGGGAAGGCTTTTGGGAGGAAGTGCAATGTGGACTTAATAGTAAAGGATTGGTAGGGCTTTGGACAATGAGCAAGAGGGGAAAGGCATTTCAGAATGGTGGAAGCCCAGGGCAATTATAGGAACAACAGATGGACCAACTGGGGAGAATTGCAGCCCATGCTAGGAACTTTGGCAAGTCAATGCGGGTGTTGAAGAGGAGGATGGCCTGGGTAGAGCTATCTTTTAGGAAGCTGAATGTGATGGACGGTCCGCTGAGGAGAGAGGACTGGAAGCGGATGTGTTTTCATAGACACATGTCTGCTGAAGAAAGGAGGCTGTGTGAAGGAGTGAGGGAACAGTACACAATAGTTGAACAATGAACAATGGTGGTGGCATGGCCCGGAGAGAATGGGAAATGGGAGAGGTAGCGGCTGGATCAGGAGAAAGGAAACTCATTCTTTTCCTCGACCACTGTTGTTCAGTGTCTACATATTACTCTATATAACCTACAATATCTATGTTGGCCCATTTCAAACCATTGTTTGGGTTATTCCTAGAAGAAAAACGCTGGAAATTTTCTTTTTGAAAACTATCTTTTTTTTTTTTCCTTTGAGATTTCCCCCACTTACCCAGAAGTTAAGTACAGAATACTGGAAAAATTAAGATAAGGTATTTCTGTTGCAACCTATTTATAACTGCCGATTCCTCCCGAACTATTTCTAAAAACCTGGCAGTCGAAAGACTTCTCTGGAAAACCATCTGCAGCTCTCACTTCCATGGATCTCTGTCTCCTTTGTCAGGCAGTCATCTAATGGCCCAGATAAAATGAGCTTGTTGGGAGAATCCGAGTGCATTTTCACTGGAGAACAGAGAAGTATTTTGTTTAGAAATAGGAAGGGTTTTGTCATAAGTCAATCCATGTGGCTACAGAACTCTTCCATCCAAAAATTAAAGAAGGAATGTGGGTGTGGAACAACTCTCTTGGATTTGCCTGGATTAGCCCTGGACTCAGAATCTTGAGAAAGGATAGTGATTTATGTTATTTTTAGTTAATATAAATAAGAAAAGTGAAAAGAAATATTATGCCGTTATGATTTAGAAATAAGGCTGATTAGGCAAAATCCTACATGGGAGAAATTGCATGTGATCAGTGAGATTAGGGATGATACATGGCTTTCCTTTAAGAAGTTTCCTCTACTTTAAAGAAACTGAAGAATCTATATGGACAGAAAGATGATAAAAAGACAATAGAACAATATTTAAAATTTTTATTTTAAGAAAGATGCCTAATCACAACCCTCAAACTACTGTTTTTAATTTTGACATTGCCTTATTCCATGTATGTATGTTTTTATATAGGTATAAATAATATCCATATAATTATGTATTCTGTAATGTGCACTTAAAATGTAATAATCATTTTCTTGTATTTCTATATCATGTTTATAATTGAAACTTATTTAGTATTATAAAATATTATAATCTTTACAAATCATAATTATCAAGCAATTCTCTAATATTGGATTATTAAATTTTTTCTTTCTTTTTACTTCCAATCGTCACCCGAGGATACATTTTTATTGATTTTAGAGAGAGAGGCAGGGAGAGAGAGAGAAAAAGAAACATCGATGTGAGAGAAGCATCTATCAGTTCCTCCCATTCACACTCCGACCCGAGATCAGACCACAACGTAGGTATGTGCCCTGACTGGGAGTTGGACCCATAACCTTTGGAGTATGAGGCGATACTCCAACTGAACCATCCACCCGGCCAGGGCACATTGTTTCTTGATTTTCGGTACTAGAGAAACACTGCATTGTGTATCTTCTACCGATGCCCTTTTGCTTTTAGTCAGTTATTTCCCTAGAATAAATTCCTAGGAACAGATTTATTTAGCCAAAAGGTATAATATCTTTATGGTTCTTATTGCAGTTCCTTTCAGAAAAGGACTACTTTCTGTATCTCCTCAACACTCTAGTGATAATAAACCTAGAAACTATACAACTTTTCTATTTGACCACAATTTTGATTTTAGTTTTTAATCTTAAATTGACAAAAACTGTTACTCCCTTACATTTAGCATCTCATGCATACATTTACTTCGGTCATATAAATTAAAAATAAATTAAGTTCCTGAACTTATAATTACCTACATAAGGTATATCCTTTATTATGTAAAATAAACCCTACATATTATCTTTTTTTTTCTTTACCATGCCAGAATGTTTATATCACTAGTTTTTTTAAACTGTAAATCCCTATAAAAAAATCCTAATTTTTCTTTTCTTCACATATGCTGGATCAATTCAATCATATTTACATACCTAATTTGACTCCTAGTTTACTTTTAAAAATTGCTATGTGTGCATACATATGTATATATTTCTTTTGTTAGTTTTAAAAAGGAAAAAAATCCACTTTTATTTGAGCTGTTATATGTAGATCTAGAATATTAAAATGCAGTTTTCTGCAAGTCACTTTGTGTTCAGGTGGGTCTTTTTCCAAGGGCTTGTTTTCTGTGTCTGACATATAGCTATGTTAAGACTAAAATAAGCTTTGTGGCTTAGAATAGTCTCCTTGCCAGTCGGTCTCTGCCACACTTTTCTTTCCCCTCCAGCCCATCCTATTCATTACTCCCAGATTAATTTCCCTAAAATACTGCTTACTGAAAAACCTCACTGGAAAAGACTTAACTGACTCCCCACTTCTAGATGAACTGAGTGTAAGCTTTTCACCTTGGCATAGAAGATGGACAGCCACACCTGCCTTCGCAGGCTCGTGAGAACCACCAGTGAGGAGGTGAGCGTGCTGTCACGGTTCCCTGCAGTCTCTCTCCCTGAAGCTCCCAGTTAAGCAACCACGAGGCAGCGTGAGGAGCTCTGGCCAGGAAAAGGGCAGACACCAGCTGACGTCCTGGCGTTGCCACTTGGCTGCTCAGTGACTTCCGAGCCTCTCCCTGTAGGGCGTCCTCCTTCCTTCCGTAAAATGGGTTCAAACAGTGTCTTGTGAGAATAATTGCAATCATGCATATAATCATTGGCACAGGGTAAGTACTAAACAAAAGTTGGCTGCTGCTCTTATACAGCAATAGTAGTACGGTAGTAATAAACATCATAAGCTTTGCCTTCAGGCAGGGGTCAGCTCAAAGCACAACCCTGTTCCTCCTCTCTTTTTTTTTAAATATATTTATTGATTTTGTACAGAGAGGAAGGGAGAGAGAGATAGAGAGTTAGAAACATCGATGAGAGAGAGTCATCGATCAGCTGCCTCCTGCACACCTCCTACTGGAGATATGCCCGCAACCAAGGTACATGCCCTTGACCGGAATCGAACCCGGGACCCTTCAGTCCCCAAGCCGACGCTCTATCCATTGAGCCAAACCGGTCTTGGCTGTTCCTCCTCTCTTTAGATCTTGCTCAGATTACCTAATTCTCTGACCCTCAGTTTCCTCATCTGCAAACAGGGCTAATAATGCCTCTCTTATTTAATATATAATATAAAATATTAGCACATTGCTACATAGTGGGCACAGAATTACAGCAAATGTTTTATTATGTGCCACATACTATTCTAAACTCTTTGTTATCTTCCCATGAACACTATGAGGTGAAACCACTATTATCATTATTTTATAGATGAAGAAACTAAGATAGAAAGAAGTTAAGAGACATACTCAAGGTCACACAAGTAGAAGGCCAGGGATTTGGATTCAGTCCCCTGACTTCAGAACACACTCTCACCCACCATGCAGGTTCCCTTCTCATCATTGTACCGCACGATTCTTCACCTACTTTATTTGGCTGTCACCGCCTCTATCCACATTGGCTCCCTTAGGAAGGTGAATGATTTTCCTTATATCCCCTACAGCACCTCACAGGTACCTCTCCTGCAGAAGACACTTAGTAAGTATGCGCTCAAATGAGCATAATAAACATACCTGTTTCTCACATCAAGTCACAAGGAGACTACTCTTGCTGATGGCTTCGATCTTCTGGCAGACCGGCTTCCGGGCTGAAAACAGAGGACGTGAATTTGTTCACTCAGCTGCTTTCCCAGTCCCTTCCCTCTGAGTTTTAAAAGTCTGGGTCCTGAGGCTGGGAGGATGGGAGGGCGGGCCATAGGATTTGGTAGGGACTCTCCGGAAGGACCAGGCACCAGGAAGGCGGCCTGGTTGGGGTGCTGGAAGGTAAGAGGCCAGTCCAGGAAACAGCTGTCTCAGGTGTCTTCTCCCGTGACTGGGCCAGGAAGGAGCTCCCTCCCATAGTTAACTCTGTGCCCCTCGTGGGCTTCAGAGATGTTGCCTTCATTTCCCAAAAGCATGATCCTGTTAGACTTGCACTGCTTCGAGGGGGTCATTTCTGAGGTGATTGTCTTGTCTTTTGTGACCTCTTTCCCGTTCTACCAGCGTAGTGTGAGGGTCAATTACACTCCCTTTCATGCTTCTACACTTCCCTGGGTTTCACACTTGTTCCTGTAACCACCCTTTTATTTTAACTTTCTTCAAAGGAGAAAGTTAGGTGTATATCTCCCATTATTTGTTATTTATATTCTAAAATTTGGAGATTTAAACAGAATTCCTACTTCCTGAGCCATCTGAAATTATGTATTTCAGGATCTTTTGATTTCTGTTTTTTATAACACCTGTTATATTTTTTCTTATTATAAAAGTCCATATATATTCATTGTAGAAAGCTAAAATTTCAGAAAAGAAAAAAAAAATCAATTAAAAGCTAAGCTACATTCTGGTATTTTAAGTGATATTTACTTTTGACAATAGACATAAAGAAAGTAAACATACACCTATACTGTATACACACAAACACTTTTGTTTTATAAAGTTAGGATTTGGATGTACATACTATATCTTAATTTTCTTGTATGATCTAAAGATATCATTCTTTGGGTTGTTTAACATTAATGGAAATGAATGAAAAGGAGACTTGTATACATTCATGACAATCAGCATTAGGCATGAATTACTAACACATTTCTTAGGAGCAAGGCAGCTTTTATCTGAGCTCCCTTTAGCAGTCTGTTTCAGCAGTGAGAGCTGCTAAAAGAACAAGAGCTTGACAGGGACTTTGCAGGCGGTTGCTTCTGTGGATCACAGACACTGGCTCTCGCCCTGCCATTTGAGTCCCGTTGCTGAAAACAAAGCTGGCTTTGGACTGTGCACTACTGTATGTGGTACTTGATTCTATATGCCTTGGTTTTCCACATGCCTTGCCAAATTGGTTTCCTGACCATGACCTTGTAGTTCAGCATTTCCCCTTCCCTCCACCCGTTTCCTGCCTTTACTTTTGATCATCAGGATTTTTCCCCCCACATGATTCCATGGTAGTAATGTAGTCGTCAGACCTACAGTCAGGAGACTCCACCCTTGGTCTCCTGAAATTCTTTTGGAAAAGTACCTTGTGTAAGCCTATACTCAACTACAGTATGAAGCCACCACACAATTAAAACAGTGCCTTTTTAATTGTATTTTTAATAGAAAATTTTGGAATAGACAAACATTTTCCCCCCATTATTCTGGCATTGACATTACCATTAAGGAGTGTTTTCAACTCTTAGCTGTATGCATGTGGCTCCTACATCTTGTTCAGCCCTCACCCCTCTCCTCTGCTCCAGTTCTGTATTTCTGTATATTTTTTAGGACATCTCTAGTTTAGTATAACATTGTCACTTTCACTTAACCTGTCTTATGTGGACCTCATTATATTGCATGCAACCTGCCTCAACTATCTGTCTTTTTTCTTTCCTGTGGAACCTAATATTCTCACTCTCCCGGAGAACTATTTGAACTAGTAAGAGAAAACAGTAAGGTGTTTGGATGCAAAGTAATTATGCAGAATATAGTAGCTTTCCTACACATCATCAGTGGTCACTTAGAAAATATAATGAAATAAAGCCCCAATCACCATAGCACTTATAACTATAATATCTGTGAAAATATGTTCACTAAGATATATATTATAAAAACAATTTTGGTGATGGACTAAAGAGATGTAGGGGTGTCGAACTCAATCAGAGAAGGAGCCAAAATCTAAAATCCAGCCTAAATCGCGGGCCGAATGGTTTACTGAACAATCATAAACTGTCATTGTGATGGAAACGCAGCGGAGTGCAGTGATGACAGCGCGGTGCGTGCGGGCCACATTGCAAGGCCTGGCGGGACGGATTTGGCCCACGGGCCTTGTGTTTGACACATGTGAAGAGAAACACATTTCTAGGTGAAAAGATGCCAGTCCTCCTCAAAGTCATTTATAGATTAAGTGCAATTACACCAAAAAGTCCTAATGCAGTTTTTAATAGAATTTGATAAGCTGATTCCAGTGTTTCTTAAAATTTGAATAAAGAATGCAGGTATAAACATCTACCTAAAATCTAAGATAATTAAAACATTATGTCTTTGGCACAGGAGAAGACTAACAAATCTGTGGAACAGAATAGAATCCTGGGGGCGGGGGGTTGGGGGGATGACACTGAGCCAAATTTAATATATGATAAATGCAACATTTACAATCAGAGGGAAGATGATGAATTGTTCAGCATATAAAGCGAGAGAACAAAAAGAGCACTGCAAAGGCACTCAGGTGAGAGCATGCATGGTGCATCTCCTGAAGCAAGAACTTCCCACGACTGGAGAAGAGGAGGAGGGGCAGTAGCGAGAGATGATGTTAAGTCTTTGTGTGGCCTTTGGACCTTTTATACAAGCGTCTTATTCATCCCCAGATTAGAAACAAAATTTTCATATATTTTCTTCTATGTTTTTTCATGTTTTTTTAATTGCATTTAGAGCTTTAATTTATCTGTAATTAATACTTATTCATTATATGAGATAAGGATATATCCTTCATTTTTTTCCCCCCAACTAACTAGCCAATTATCACAACTTCATTCATTGAATCACCTTCAGTGATATTAAGTGCTGCTTTAAATGTTATCATATATAAAATTAGATTTCTGAGTTTGTTTCTGAACTCTGTCCCATCCCTGGAATCTTTCTGATTACTTCTGTGCCTAAACAAAATACACCACCTTGCAGTCTTAAGCAGCAGAGAGACATGATCAGATTTGCATTTGTAGAGAGACTGGTCAGTTAGGATTGCACTGCAGTGAAATTCAAGCAAGAGATAGTCTCAGCCTGAGCTGAACTGAAGCAGTTGGGGTGGAACGGGCAGAATTTGGTGCTTGCTGGAATGTATGGTGGGTTTAGAAAGAGGAGATGAGAACGATGCCCACATTTCTGGCTTGGGAAACTGGGTGATGGCGATGCCCTCACTGAGAAAGAGGAAGAGCAGCAGGTTTGAGGAGAAGCATGAAAAGTGGGTGAGTTCAGTTTTGGACATATTGAATTTAAAACACCCATAAGACTTCTTGGAGGAGAAGTAGAGTCAGGCATTTGAATTTGTAACTTTTGTTTTGTGTGTGTTTTTAAAAATTAATTCTTTTACTTTATTGTTGAAAGTATTA